GGTTATTTATAATACTGTAATGAATGTAATACTATAATGAATGCAATACTGTAATGAATGCAATTTCAAGTTTTTTTTTGGCTAGCCAGTATGAAAAGTTAACCTGCTGATGTTTTATTTTTCCATTCTTGCACCAGCTCAATAAGTTTTTCTTCTGAAGTTAGCATTTACACTTTCTTTTACTCACTACTTACTGCTCTCCTAATGCTGTGCTTAAAGAGTCCTATCTCCATCCTTGCTATCTCTGCCACTTATAAAATGTAATTTTATCTTTACATACACTAACCTAAATAATTTCTGATGATTACATATTTTTTAACTTTTTGAATCTTAACAAACCTTGCAACTGAAGTGGCACAGCAACATGAATAACAAATTCTTTGTTACATATTTATTATAAAAAATAGACCAGCTGGTTAACATGGTATTTAACATGAAAATTCTTTAATTAGATGTTCAGGTACTTTAGCAAGCTGTTGTGTACCTGCTACAGGGGGAGTGTCTCCTGTGTTCCACAGACCAAGGAACCAGGCATAGATTGTCTAAAATATGACAGAGAAATATCAGGATCCCAGACTGAGTGCTGTACACTTGTAAACATATGCTTACGGCATGCTCTTTCTTAGTTCATCAGTAGTACTACATGTTACTTTATATTTCATTGTATTTTTGGTTATGTTTTGGGGGTTATGTAGGCCATAAGCCACCAGCATAACAGTATGTGCTGCACATATGCAAATATGTGCTCAATAATAACCCACAAGGAGAGAGAAACTCGGGAGATTGATTGATCTGTATATTTCGACCCCCTTCTGCTGCTTGAAATCAGTCTCCTGTGTTTCTGTCTCCATGTGGGTTATTATTGAGCACTGACAAGTGTTCATTACACTTTAGTTATTCATGCAAATATATACTTAGCACTAGACAGTTGAATATCATTTTCAAGTTACATTATTAATATTGTACTATGTGATGTTATGTTATGCAGTGTGGCCGGGAAAATGACCCACTCCCCACCTTCCTACACAATCACTATGCTCAAGACTCTCAAAATGATGTACCTATACTATACTGTACTCTCTTATATATATAATGCAATACTGCATTACAGGGTATAATACTGTTTTTATTATATATACAGTACAGTATTGCATACAGGGTATATATACTGTATCTAACATATATTTAAATTTTATTTAAAGTGAGTGAAATACTTTTATATTAATACTTGTACATTACAGTACAATATGTATATGAAAACATGGTTATACATGTTTGTGTTTTGACTCAAGACCTGGTACTGTGGTGTAGAGTGAGGTGTAGAAGTGTGGAGTGTAGGTGCGGTGGAGTGAGGTGTAGGGGTGCAGAGTGAGGAGTAGGCAAGTAAAGTGAATTGTATGGGTGCAGAGTGAGGTGTAGGGGTGCAGAGTGAGGTGTAGGGGTGCAGAGTGAGGTGTAGGGGTGCAGAGTGAGGTGTAGAGGTGCAGAGTGAGGTAAAGAAGCTTCCTATCTCCCCATCAACAAAAATTTCCTTTAAATTACAAGAAAGGCATCATGCAAGTCTTAAACATTTAAGATCATTTAAATGACTACTCATTGCTTGCTCTAAAAAGTAACAAGTATACATAAAAGAGGCTTTTTTTAGTATGCTTATGCCAGAGATGTGTAAAGAAAATGAAGAGGAAAGAAAAAGCTTACACCAGATAGGTAAAGAAACCAGAGCAGGAAGACAGCTGCTTACACCAGAGATAGGTAAAGAAACCAGAGCAGGAAGACAACAGTTTACACCAGAGATATGTAAAGCAAGTGAATCAGGAAAGACAAACATTAATAAGAACACAACATATAAACAAAAAGAGGAAAATAGGAATCTTAGAAGGGTATACACACAAACAGACAACATACCACTAAGCAGCTGCAGAACGAGTGATATCCAAGAACAAGATTTTCTGCAGTACAATGTTCTGTTCTAAGCCCTATTAACAGTACTATAGTCCCAAATAATGGTCCTTATATACAACATAAAATTATCATTACCCTATTCTACCACTTCTCAATATATTTATCATTCTCTTGTATCTACCTGTCCTGTACTATCTTTTCATAATCCAATTAATTTGCCTGAATACACATGGAGGTACAGTACAATGGGCGCAAAATATGTAAACTTAAGTGATGTCAGAAAATATCCACTGGTCTATCATTGTATAGCGAATAATGTTGAAAGTTTCTCTCATGTGCTACTGTGCTTGGGGTTTGCAGAAATTTAGGTATGGTCAATTAACCCTTTGAGGGTCAAGAGGCCCTCTCCCAAACCCGTTCTCAGGGTCGGAAAAAAGAAAAGAAAAAAAAAAATGAATGATTTTTTCTTACGAAATGATAGAGAATCTTTTTCCAATCATAACGAGAACAAAACTATAAAATTTGATGGAAAACTTACAGAATTATGCTCTTGCAAAGTTAGTGGTCTCAATGATGTTTATGCATCGGCGATTTCGTCCACTTTGAGCCCTATTTTCGGTCAATTCCCATCTTGCAATCGACTAAAATCATAGTTATTTCGCTAGAACTCCATTTGTTCTATCGGTTGAGTGCAAGAAACCACCCATTTACTGATTTCAACTACCCAATAAAGTAGTCAGAAATTGGCAATTAGGGCAATTTCACACAAATTTCTAAAGATGCCAATTTCAAAATAGGGTCCAGAATAAACAAGACAGACATTCATGGCACTAAAATAACATTTTATCTGTTCATCAGTCATGTCTCTAGGCCCCTCTTACATTACTTTTGCTTTCCATTTTGAATTTTTATTCTCACAGAAAATAGGTTTTCTGTTATGTATACTACTGTATCATTATAAAAATGGTATAAATGATATCAATGCACTTGTAAAAGAATATCAGACTCACCAGTTGATGTGTACTGGACGAGAGGCGTGATTTGTTTACTCTCGAACATCGGCAAAAATCGATCATTTTCACTACTTTGAGCTCAATTTAAAGGTACTTGTCATTGTGAAACCAATCAAAATCACTTCTATTTCAGTAATATATCTTCCATTCTATCAAATGAGATCAAGAAAACAAGAATACAACCATAAATACCATACCAAACTACACTAAAAAGTTGCTGTTTTAAACCAAAAACACAGTTGGAGTTTTTTTTTTCTCATTATGCACTGCTTCAGAATTTTTTTATGCTGCACACAATGACCACACAGACCCATTCTTTTATATGTATGCCTGCTAACTTTCTTCCACCAGATTTGAAGGTGCTAGAATTTAGGCGTACATGAATGACCCTGGCTGCAATGATATACTTGTACGTGACTAACCCTTAAAGGGTTAATGCAGTATAGCATTTATGAAACACTTGTTACATGCAGCTCTGCTCTCAATGTAGCACTCAGCATACAAGACACAAGACACTCTTCAGTGTTTAACAATGCCTGCTTTACTTCCCTTCCAGAGTGAGTGAGTGTGAGTGTGAGAGTGAGTGAGTGTGAGTGTGAGTGTGAGTGTGAGTGTGAGAGTGAGTGTGAGTGTGAGTGTGAGTGTGAGTGTGAGTGTGAGTGTGAGTGTGAGTGTGTGTGTGTGTGTGTGTGTGTGTGTGTGTGTGTGTGTGTGTGTGTGTGTGTGTGTGTATTACATGACACTGATCTAACTTTCTTTTCCAACTTAGATCAGATAAACGGAAGAGTTTAACAGTTTATAATTAATTAAGGTAAAGCAAAAGCCTCTACATAAACTTAGAGCATTAGCTACTATAATGCCACAAGAAAGAAAATTTGGTTAATACTGATAGGTTAATACCTTTACCATTAAACAACACACACATCACTATCTACCCAAACTGAATGTTACTTCCATTTTAAAGTGTTGAATATACCACAACTTCTGCAAGCACATTCTTCAGTTTTAGGACTCACTTGCCATAGGTTCAACCCCCTACCCGTTCTACCAATTCCCTGATTTATTTATTCACATATTCATCTGAGATCAATGACATGGCTTCAGGCATTGCTGATGAATTCCCATTTTTGTTTCTATCATATAAAAATAATCAACTTCCTCTATAAAACAGGAGGAAAAAACATCATAAATCAAAGAAACATTGCAAAGGAAAACAAGAGAATAACTTGCAAGTTTAAAAAATACGAGTTCTGTAATTGTACCAGATTTTAACATTTTTCCCCAGATTTTAAATTTATAAATATTTAAATCCTCCTTAAAACTTATCTTAAATACATTTCAACACTTTCATACTTTTCTCATATATTCATAAGTACATATTATGATTTTTTTTATGTACAGGGGATGCCGAGGAAAATGAAGAGCAGACCTGCCAAATTTTAAGTGATGATAATGTCCAACTTAATCAAGTATAAGATTCACAACAAATACACAAATTAGAAATGAAAATGATCCAGAATGAAAGAAATAGCAAGGAGTTTCATCTGCAATTTGTGAGTTAGTTGCAAATTTTTTCATTTTTGGTACTGTGACTTGCATTCAATACAAAATACATATACAGTAAACCCTTGACTTAAATTAATGGGGAGCAGCAGATGGCTTGTAAGAGCAATTGTGATGGGTAGAGATGAGATTATTATGCCATGATTGTAACAATAACTAACAATTCCGTAACTGCTGGATCTTCAGTGGATTTTGTCCCCATAGTTCTGAATTATTATTATTATAATCAAAAAGAAACGCTAAACCACAAGGGCTCTGTATTTCTGAAGTCTTGTATATTTAGGATCATTAAAATGAGGGTTTACTGTACTACAAAGATGGTCAGGTTTTTGCAATATAAAATTCCCTGAAAACTGGTAGCAAGTGTGCAGAAACACATCACAGTGCAAGATTTGAGAAAGCCTATGATCTGTTGAACCACCATCAAATACAGCCTTCTTCTATTATGATATTTTTGTCACTATATCTCACACATGATCAACAGGCATGGAAAGGTCAGGATGAGATGAGGAAGACCTCAGAGGAGTTAACACAGTAAGTTATTGATATGAACATCCAACACTGGATCTCGTATACAGTCAACAGGCATGGAGAAGCAAGGCTGGGAGGAGCAAGATCCCAGAGGAGTTAATACAGTAAGTTATTGATATGCACAAGAAGCAAGTAAGGCACCTAGAGAACTAGTAATACTTAGTGGTACTTACATGACTAGATAAGACAATTTTCAAGAGTGATATGAGTGTGAAGTGAATGGCTGCTCATGATGTGTCTTTACATTCTTAGTTGTAATCATATTTTCTTAATTTAACTTTTCTGCAATTTAAATTTTTTTCACTAAATGGTCCCATACATTAGATTAAAACTGTAAAGGGTCATCTCCAACTCCGAGGGTTAGATAGTACATCAAGTCAAATCTGATATACAGTACAGGCTTTCTCACTTTATATGTTTTTGCTTTATGTCAATTAGCTTTTATGTGGGCAGCCCATTTCTACCAAAAATTCACTCTAAGCAGTAGAACTGCACTCACCCTAACCCAGAGCCACTTGATGTTTTAACCAAGTCTCTTTCAATATCACTCTAAACTGGCTTAAAGTGACATTTATATGGAAGAAATAAGAGAGAGCGAACTGATTTGAATGTAGAAAATCCAGCTAGCATATGCTGAACAAAATCCTATGACCGGTTTTCAATTTGTCTCTAATTCTGAGGGACTGATTACCTCATCTTCTGTATATAATTCTTCCAAGTATGTCCTTGTATTGATAAAGCCATTGGTTGGCAAAACATCTACAAATAAAGATACCCAGATGTTGCACGTGTCTAATTCTTCGGGGATGTATGTACTCACTGGTTCATAAAAAGATGGGATAGTTGGCTGCTGGTAAAGGCAAGGTAAAAGTAAGAAGAATTATTAAGTAAATTTTGATTTTAATTTTTCCTCCTTTGATTTTTGACCAGTCACATTTATTTTAGGTATATGGCCTTTTGGTGCCTATCTGATATGCTCATAATTAACCCTTTGACTGTTTCAGGCCCCTCTCTGAAACTGTCATTCTATGTCGCCAAATATTCAAAAAAAAAAAAAATTATTTTTTCTTATGAAAATGTTAAGATTATTTTTCTGAGTGTTTTAATCCAAAAAAAAAATTTTTGCCATTGGTACTTACCGAGATATAGAGCCGTGAAGTTTGCAGAAAATGAGCCGCGTATGGCAACAGCGGCGACTGCCGCTCACCCGGTAAACTTTAGTTTACTTGTATTTGAAGGTTTGTTGTTTTTTTCACTATTTTATTTTTTCACATAACTTATGTGGCCTATGAGACCAAAGTAAGGTGCAATGTATATATATACACTCGTTGTATACAACACAATAAGCACACAAACATAATTATCAATATATTGTTTACAAAACTTGTTTACACAAACAAACAAACAAACATACAAACATACAAACAATTCTTCTTCTTCTTCTTCTTCTTCTTCTTCTTCTTCTTCTTCTTCTTCTTCTTTCTTCTTTTTTCTTCTTCTCTTCTTCTTCTTCTTCTTCTTTCTTCTTCCTTCTCCTTCTCCTTCTCCTTCTCCTTCTCCTTCTCTTCTTCTTCCTTCTTCTTCTTCTCTTCTTCTTCTTCTCTTCCTTCTTCTTCTTTTCTTCTTCTTCTTCTTCTCCTTCTTCTTCTTCTCCTTCTTCTTCTTTCTCTTCTTCTTCTTCTCCTTCTTCTCTTCTTTCTCCTTCTTCTTCTTCTCCTTCTTCTTCTTCTTCTTCTTCTTCTTCTTTCTTCTTTCTTTCTTTCTTCCTTCTTTTCTTTCTCTTCTCTCTTCTTCTTCTCTTCTCCTTCTCCTTCTTCTCCTTCTTCTCTTCTTCTCTCTTCTTCTTCTTCTTCTTCTTCTCCTCTTTCTTCTTCTTCTTCTTCTTCCCTTCTTCTTCTTCCTTCTTCTTCTTCTTCCTCCTTCTCTCTTCTTCCTTCTTCTTCTTCTCCTTCTTCTTCTCCCTTCTTCTCCTTCTTCCTTCTCCTTTTCTCCTTCTCTTCTTCTCCTTCTTCTTCTTCTCTTCTTCTCCTTCTTCTTCTCCTTCTTCTCCTTCTTCTTCTTCTTCCCTTCTTCTTCTCTTCCCTTCTTCTTCTTCTCTCTCTCTTCTCTTCTTCTTCTTCTCTTCTTCTTCTCTTCTTCTTCCTTCTTCCTTCTTCTTCTCTTCTTCTTCTTTTCTCTTCTTCTTCTCTTCTTCTTCTTCTTCTCCTTCTTCTTCTTCTCCTTCTTCCTTCTTCTCTTCTTCTTCTCCTTTTCTTCTTCTCCTTTTCTTCTTCTTCTCCTTCTTCTCTCTCTTCTTCTTCTCCTTCTCTTTCTTCTTCTTCTTCTCCTTCTTCTTCTTCTCCTTCTTCTTCTCTCTCTCTCTTCTTCTTCTTCTTCTTCTTCTCTCTCTTCTTCTTCTTTCTTCTTCTTCCCTTTTCTTCTTCTCCTTCTTCTTCTTCTCCTTCTTCTTCTCTCTTCTTCTTCTCCTTCTTCTCTTCTTCTCCTTCTTCTTCTTCTCTCCTTCTTCTTCTTCTTCTCCTTTTCTCTCTTCTTCTCCTTCTTCTTCTCCTTCTTCTTCTCTCTCTTCTTCTTCTTCTTTCCCTTTTCTTTCTTCTCCTTCTTCTTCTTCTTTCTTCTTCTCTCTTCTTCTTCTTTCTTCTTCTTCTTCTCTTCTTCTTCTCCTTCTTCTTCTCCTTCTCTCTCTTCTTCTTCTCCTTCTTCTCCTTCTTCTTCTTCTCTTCTTCTTCTCCTTCTTCTTCTCCTTCTTCTTCTTCTCTCTTCTTCTCTTCTTCTTCTTCTCTCCTTCTTCTTCTTCTCTTCTTCTTCTTCTTTCTCCTTCTTCTCCTCTTCTTCTCTTCTTCTTCCTCCTCCTTCTCCTCCTCCTTCTCCTCCTTCTTCTCTCTTCTTCTCCTCCTTCTTCTCCTTCTTCTCTCCTTCTCTCTCCTCCTTCTTCTCCTCCTTCTTCTCCTCCTCCTTCTCCTCCTTCTCCTCCTCCTCCTCCTCCTTCTCCTCCTTCTCCTCCTCCTCCTCCTTGTGTGCGAGTGTGTGGCTTATAATTGTTTTGAGTCAGAAGTCGGCAGCTGTCAAAGTGACATATTATCTCATTAGTCACTACCCCTACCCCTGTCAAAACAATGGGGTCGGATGCTGCTTCCCCTCCTCCATTCTATCTAATTATCTTTCTCCCTCATTCTATATCTTTCAATCTGTCTCTCTTTCTGTCTGCCTATCTCTGTCTCACAGGTACACATAAATACAAGTATACATAGTGTAAATTACCTAGGATAACCCAAGAAATCCAGACAAAGTGCTATACTCTGCTTGAAGATGTGAGTAAACGTGATGACACAGTCTTGTGGCTCTCTCTGAGACAGAGAGCTAGATGGACAGACAGGGAGCTTGACAGACAGACAAATAGACAGACAGAAATGTTTGTGTACCAGCAAAAACAAAGGGAGGTGATGGTCATGTAATATTACCCTCCTTTACGCTCATCAAAGTCAGCTCTTATCAGATGTTATCTCCCCTTATCTTGTCACTGTCATGGGGTGGACTTTTTTTTTTCTTGCTTCAAGGGAACAATATTATTACATCTTCTTCTTCCTCCTCCTCCTCCTCTTCTCCTCCTCCTCCTCCTCCTCCTCCTCCTCTTCCTTCCCTCCTCCTCCTCCTCCTCCTCCTCTTCCTCCCCCTCCTCCTCCTCCATTGCTTTTGGTCTCAAACTCCTCCAAATCATGAAATTGATCTTCACTGACACTTCCATCTGTGTTAGAGCATCACTTGGGAAGAGAAGAGTCCCATATTTGCTGGGGAATCACATATTTCTTACCACTAGACATATTGAAAAATGACAACTGAAATGGCATTCCCACAATGCACCACTGGCTCCCCGATTTTTTTTATATGGTGCACACTGACCATGGAGACCCATTCTCTCACATGTGGGCCTAGCAGCTTTCTCCTGCTTGATTTGAAGCTGCTAGAATTTATGCGTATAAATACGTCAGAAACATTGGCTCGTAAGACGTATTTATACGTCGGAAACAGTCAAAGGGTTAATGGGTAATAATAAATAAAAAAAAATTACTTTAGAAGTTTTTCAATTTTGTACTAGTACATATATATAGGGATTATAATCAAAAGTTTTTTTTTCTCAGTTGTTTTTAGACATTTTGTTTGTACTGTATGTAACTATTTGGTGCATGTGTGTTAAGCTCAACATTAGTCAAGAAATGTGGAATTTGCTGTCTCAAAACGAGCTCGTTATATGTGTTATATTGGAGGAACATGTTATATTGTGTTCACTATGTGAACACAATATTATTTCATATTGTCAACCATTTTTTGCCTACAAATAAGAATAAAATGTTTACAGTAAATGTAAATGCTGACTTCTGAAATTCATTCTTTGCCTGGGAGGTGAGTATATGCCTGTACTGTACTTTATACATTTTGTCTAATTACAATTAGACATATGGTGAATATTTTGCATTAGAAATATTGGGTATACTACTGGGTTCTTCAAGCTATGTACAGTCTCTCCTCACTTAGCAACGTACTCATTTACCAATGCCACGGACTTACGACGGGCTCTCTGACCAGTATTTATACCTAAATAATGTATATTAGAGCTAATTTCCTCTATTCTGTTTATTTCAATATACAGTACACTACTGTATAAACATTTAAAAATATACCAGAAATGTTATAAATGATGCAAAAGGTGACCTTAAAACAATATCAAAGATGGCTGACAATCCATTACCATTATAGTATCTCCTCACTTAGCAACAAATTCGTTTAACGACGCGGTCTTAGGAACCGAACCCCATCATTAATTAAGTGAGGAGAGGCTGTATTTATTTCAAGTGTAAATGTGCAGGAGCTATGAAAATATACTATAGCATTTTGAAAGAAAAATAAGAATATATCTATAATTATTGCTCAAATTATATCAACAAAATTTATTCAAGAGAATTTTTATAGCTCATTTTAAAGCAGAATTTCTTTTGAAAAATAGGTTGGAGGAGTATAGGGTTATTATAGTTAAAAAAAAAAAAAAAGGTTGGAGACAACCCTCTTAATCTTTGAGAATAAATACATTAAGAATTTCTTTATTCTAATGAGCTCCAGGAAATATTACTTTCCATTTACATAAAATTGATGAAGATCTTAATTTTACTCTGCAGTGATTGAAACAGAAAAACTCTGTTGACATTCAACACTGCAATATAAAACATCAACACAAGTGTAAACCAGAGCTTCCCAACCTATGGAATTTGAGGACAAAGCAACAGCAACAAAAATTAAAAAAGTCTTTTTTTTTAGCATAAAAAATACTGTAGTTTACAAAGTACAATGATAATAATGTCATTACTGGTGTAGTGTGCACTGGCATGCAGATCTTGCAGCAGCTTGTTGCAACATGCAATGCAAGACACAGTGATACACCACAGACTTCTATATTATATTAATCTTATGCATTTTATTGTTAGGAATAACAAGGCAAAATCATCCACAGTAAAAATAATTCTTCAGACTAATATTTCTAGGCACTAGGGATTTATTTATTTTCAGGAGATTAAAACGAAAATATTTGTCATTTGAACAAAGTCGCTCAAAATTCATTAATTTCATTCTGAAATAATTTTCCAATGAAAATTTTTGTTAAAGTCAACCAAGTGTAGTACTTTACAGTTTTTTTTTACTTGTTCTAGAACACTAAATTCTGGGAGAATTTTCAATGAATGTTTGCCTAAGTGTTTCTATGTCAACAATAAAAAAAAAATGAAGAATATCACTCTCACTAACAATTTCAATAATTTTTTGTAAACTATTTATTTAAAAGTGCAGAAATGATTTCTTGATAAAGTATGCTGTTCATAAAGCTAGTTGACTTTAAAATATCTTTGACATTTGTTATTTTTTATTTTTATTATCACACTGGCCGATTCCCACCAAGGCAGGGTGGCCCGAAAAAGAAAAACTCTCACCATCATTCACTCCATCACTGTCTTGCCAGAAGGGTGCTTTACACTACAGTTTTTAAACTGCAACATTAACACCCCTCCTTCAGAGTGCAGGCACTGTACTTCCCATCTCCAGGACTCAAGTCCGGCCTGCCGGTTTCCCTGAACCCCTTCATAAATGTTACTTTGCTCACACTCCAACAGCACGTCAAGTATTAAAAACCATTTGTCTCCATTCACTCCTATCAAACACGCTCACGCATGCATGCTGGAAGTCCAAGCCCCTCGCACACAAAACCTCCTTTACCCCCTCCCTCCAACCTTTCCTAGGCCGACCCCTACCCCGTATATTAAGTATATTAGTAACATTCAGTATATACTCACTACTTTCCTGTGTTTCTTAACAGATCTTGTAATGTTTTGTAATACAGGAAGTTTGGTCCTAGACAAAGCTGCGGGGGCAGTCATCCCAGAATCCATTAACAGATTCATCTCAATCCTAATTGCCAACAGGGCAGTGGGTGTGACTTTATTAACCTGATGTGAAAATCACACTCATTTATATAAATCCAACTTCAATTACTAATGTATATTGTGTGAAATAGCTGCAGTCCTCCTTGTTAATGTGTTAAAGAGACAGTTGACTTTTTCAGTGACTTTCTTTCATTCTTCTTTTTGAAGGAAAATGTTTTAGAATACTTATGTGTATCTGTCCTCCTCTGGCAGGATAGTGATAGTGTGAATGATGGTGAAAGTGTTTCTTTTTCTGGTCACTCTGCCTCAGTGGGAGACAGCCAGCATGTTAAAAAAAAAATTCAAGTGTACCAGATGTTTTGGAGAAACTAATGGGTAAGGTACTGGTTTTAATTTATAATAATTGACTCCCTGTTTTCAGAATTAACTGGATATTATTATAAAATTTCAGAGCTTGTGAAAATCAAACAATTTCAGAGCTTGTGAAAATCAAACTGAAATGGGGTACAGTAATCCAATGCATGCCTAATACCATAGTCAGGAATAACACCAACAGTGCCACAAACAGGTACAAGTGCTACTAGAACTAAAACTCCTACTGTTCTTGCAAGAGATTTTCCTTTAATTATTTAAGTACAGTGGACCCCCGCATAACGATGGCATCACATAGCGATTTTTCCGCATACCGATTACTTTTATCGCAAAATTTTTGCCGCGCATACCGATTAAAAACCCGCTTACCGATTTTCGTCCGAGACGCGTCCAATGTGCCCTCACATGTGCCGGCCGTCCCATTGTTTACCAGCCAGCCTCCGCGGTAACATCCAAGCATACACTCGGAATATTTCGTATTATTACAGTGTTTTCGGTGCTGTTTCTGGAAAATAAGTGACCATGGGCCCCAAGAAAGCTTCTAGTGCCAACCCTGTGGTAAAAAGGGTGAGAATTAGTATGGAAATTAAGAAAGATTTTGAAGGGTTTGGGGCTAACCCTGAGAAGCCTATGCCAGTTGTGGAATCCATTGTGCCTACTTCAAAGATTAAGGAAATGTGTGCACAGTGGGTTGAACTGCAAACCTTTATAGATGAAAATCACCCTGACACAGCTGTTGCAAGCCGTGCTGGTGACTATTTCAATGACAATGTTATGGCCCATTTTAGGAAAGTCTTGAAGGAACGGGAGGTACAGAGCTCTATGGACAGATTTGTTGTGCGACAGAGGTCCAGTGACTCTCAAGCTGGTCCTAGTGGCATTAAAAGAAGAAGGGAAGTAACCCCAGAAAAGGACTTGCTACCTCAAGTCCTAATGGAAGGGGATTCCCCTTCTAAACAGTAAGAAGATAATGCTCTCCCCTCCTCCCATCCCATCAATCATCACCAGATCTTCAATAAAAGTAAGTGTCATTTAATTGTGCATGCCTTTTTCAGTTTGTGTGTATTAAAATTAACATTTCATGTGGTAAAAAAAAATTTTTTTCATACTTTTGGGCGTCTTGCACGGATTAATTTTATTTCCATTATTTCTTATGGGGAAAATTCATTCGCATAACGATTATTTCGCATAACGATGAGCCCTCTTGCACGGATTAAAATCGTTAACCGGGGGTCCACTGTACTGTTGTTACCACGTCTTTTATAGATCTTTTAATAAGGTTACAATAGAATTAATCTCAAAAGCTCAGCAAGAGGAAGTTTTGCTGTACCTGCCTTGGTCTTACTTTCTATATTCATATAACTTACTGTGTATTATGTGATTGTTATAAATACAATAACTTAGAAAAATTTCTACTATTAAATGAGAATTTAATAGTGAGCCAGGGAGACTTAGCATGCTAGGGAAGCCTGATACTTGTGAGCTCCTGGTTGGGAATCCCTGGTCTACACAAACCAATTCTACTCCCTACAAAAAACTGTCTACGTGTGAAGACCTTAATATACACAATCTTGGTCTCTTCTTCGTGCACTCATGCTAACTTACTGTCCTTCACCACTGCATTTTTTTTATGATTTTACAATTCATTATTATCCACATGTCCAGATAGTCAAGTACAACAGAGATGGACAGCCATAACAGACCACCTCTGAGCTCTGTTGGACACTTCAGAAAATATATGAGTAATATCAACATCAAACTGCACTGCACTTTACCAGAGTTCCACAATGCTATTAATCATAAGTTATCATGTAAACTACTGCACACTTTGCATTAATTTGACCCCTAGTTACCTAGAACACTATAGTGAATGTATGTACCTAGCCCTACTATGAAGGTTACTATGTAACTAATGCCACTTCTTATCTTCATCTAACACTACTATGAAGGTTACTATGTAACTAATGCCACTTATCTTCACCTAACACTACTATGAAGGTTACTATATAACTAATGCCACTTATCTTCACCTAGCACTACTATGAAGGTTACTATATAACTAATGCCACTTATCTTCACCTAGCACTACTATGAAGGTTACTATATAACTAATGCCACTTATCTTCACCTAACACTACTATGAAGGTTACTATGTAACTAATGCCACTTATCTTCACCTAACACTACTATGAAGGTTACTATGTAACTAATGCCACTTATCTTCACCTAGCACTACTATGAAGGTTACTTGTAACTAATGCCACTTCTTACCTTCACCTAGCACTGCTATGAAGGTTACTATACAGGTAATAAATACTGCTTCTTACCCACCAGCACCACGTTAAACTCCACACAGAGAAGTAGCTACAGTGTATGGAGCACCAATGATAATACTGAGCAAATATTCAAACTGATAAAAATTAAATAACTATAAGAAAGACCTACAGTGAAAAATAACCTGCTTAAATTAATTTAAAGTACAATATAGCAGAACCCAACTTATGATGTTCCACACTTATGATGTTCTTAACTTACAATACTGCCACTTTGGAATCAATCAATTACTTATGAATGCTGATCTGCAGTTATGTTCATTGCAAATATTTAGACAAAAATTAGCTTAAATAAGTAATTTTGTTACATGTGGAATAACAGGTATGTCTTGTCACTTCTATTTACACTTTGGTCACACTACACATGTATGTACATGCATATATATATATTTACACATCAATCTGGGTTTTCTTCTATTTTCTTAATACTTTTTGCTCTTCTTTATTTCACCTTATCTCCATGGGGAAGTAGAAAAGAATTCTTCCTCCGTAAGCCATGCGTGTCATAAGAAGTGACTAAAATGCCAGGAGCAATGGGCTAGTAACCCCTTCTCTTGCATAAATTACTAAATTTATAAAGAAAAACTTTTTTCTTTTCAGGTCACCCTGCCTCAGTGGGATATAGCCTGTTTGTTGAAAAAAAATTGTTCTTTGTGTGTTTATTTTATGCATATATAGAGCTTCCATTTGTTTGGTAGAGACTGGTCAAGAATTACAGATTATTAACAATTTTCTTAATGCTGAATTATAAAAAAAAGTTTCTCTCAGTCTTTTACCAAAAGCATTCATAGTTTATATTTTTTTTCAACAAGTCGGCCATCTCCCACCGAGGCAGGGTTTATACAGTGGACCCTCGAGTTTCGGCAGCCTCGACTTTCGTGAAATTCGACCTTCGGCATGTTTTTTTTTGGCAAAATTTGGTCTCAAGTTTCGTGATTAGACTCGTGTTTCGGCGACTGTCCAGTACCCGTCCGCCCGTCACCACGCACACCAAGCCAGTCTCCCACGCCATTCATGCTCGGTGTGCCATTGTTTACCAACACATGACCATCACCCCGCGGGTTCATACAATACATTTCATAATAATCCATTGTTTTTTGTGCTTGCAACTGCTACATAAGTCGTCATGGACCCAAGGTAAATAAAGTGAGGAACACGATCCAGAGGGATTTTGAAGGGTTTGAGGCAGACCCTGTCCCTGCCGACCCTCTGCCTGTTGTGGCACTGGGCAAGTCCATGGGGTTGGAGGCGAGTGACGGGGATGTGGAAGAGTTGGTGGAGGACCACAGGGAAGAGCTAACCACTGGCGAACTGCAAGAGCTTCAACTGGAACAGCATCAGACCACAGCCGAGGAACTTGCTTCAGAGGAGGAGGAAGAGGGAGTGGATGAGGTGCCTTCTTCAAAGATTAAGGAGATTTGTGCCAAGTGGAATGAGTTGCAAAGTTTTGTTGAAAAGTATCACCCTGACCAAGCTGAAACAAGCCATATCTGCAACATGTACAATGACAGTATTGTGTCCCACTTCAGGAAAATCTTAAAGAAACTCCTCTGGAGAGGTATTTTGTGCGACAGGGGTCCAGTGACTCTCAAATTGTTCCCAGTGGCATTAAAAGAAGAAGGGAAGTAACCCCAGATAAGGACTTGCTACTTAAAGTCCTAATGGAAAGAGATTCTCCTTCCAAACAATAGTGTACACCTTCCTCCTATCCCCTCCTCCCATCTTCCATCCACCCAGAAGTCTTCAGTAAAGGTAAGTGTAATGTTGTTATTATTTTTTATATGCATGTACTTGATTTCTTATTGATTTCAGTATATAAATCTTTATTTAATTTGAAAAAAAAAAACATTTTATTTTAATATTTTTGGGTGTCTTGAACGGATTAATTTTATTTCGACTTTCGGCAGGCTCTCTGGAACGGATTAATCACGAAACTCGGGGGTCCACTGTATACGCATAGTTTATACATGCTAATTTAATCCATGAATACAGAGCTCAAATTTATTTTGTAAAACTGGTTAAGAATTATAGATTTAATATTTACAATAATCTTAAGGATGAATTATAAAAAAAAAGTTTCTTATGAATGCACTGGCATTTTGTGCATGCTATTTATGCATGTGTGGAGAGTTTATGTTTTTTTTTATTAAGACTGCTCAAGAGCTATAGATTAAATACTGTAGTTATTTTTTGTGGCAGCCACTGCTGCTGATGCCTTTGTATCGGACAGGTCTACAAGTGAGGAGCAGCTCAGTGGAAACTAACGACACATCCTCACCACCTCTTTCCCCATACTGTATACCCAGACACATTAATACTCACCACAGCAATGATGTAGTGGTGAGCATTTGAAAGAGCACTGTTGTACATGAATAGTATACAATACCGACAAGATGAAGAACCAAACACAAGTGCAACATGCCTTCGTCTGCTGCACATCCCTCACTTAACACCATTATAGAAGTGCCAATCTTCATGCCTGTGTTTCAGATTCTTCAAGGCTATGGTACTCTACTCTTCACCAACTCCAAAAGTGATGGTCTGATTACCTCATCTTTTGCATATAGATGTGATAAATCCACTGGATAGAGAAATGTCTAAAAATAAAATACCTAGATGCTGCATATGTGTCTAATTCTTCATTAAAGAGCATTGTGTTTGATACAATGTGAGAGAGAATAGGAGTGTATAGGAAAGTAAGAGAGGAAGGCAGTCCGTCTGTTGCTTGTCCCTAACACATGTACTGGATTATATTGTTACTCTTTTCTGTTTATCATATAATATATACTAATTAAACAATAGTTAGCACTATTTGTAAGTGAAGAGGAATAATAATGAATATATAAAATTGGGTTAATATTCTTACTGAAAAATTAAATTAGATATGGAATGTTATGGCTATGAAACGCATCTTCGATTATAACAATGGTGCCACATTATTGATGGTATACAATACCGACACGTTGACAAGTAAGTCTTATGCATAACACTTGGAGATCTTTAGTGCTACAAACAAAACATTTTGGCAGTAAAGATACCCCAAGTGCTGCACATTATATTCACATTAAGTGTCTATGAGAAAACAGGTTCTGAATTCTGAACAATCAACTTATAAAATTTTGAGGAATGCATTACATCACAAGTTGGGCCCTACAGTACTGTAACTGACTGTGATAAGTCAATATAAATCCTCTTCCAAACCATTTATAATAAATATGGTAATAAATCCTTGATATTTCAAGTGAATTAAAATAATAATAAGAATCTTAGTACGTATATAGGTAGTCTCATTATATGAGAATATAATACCTAAATTTGTTATGACCATTTTTACAGTGAGGCTATTATGCAATACAATACAGTACTGTATTAAGTACTGTATTTAGAAATCTTTGAAGCATGTCTTTGTTGAACTTTGAGCATGTCCATCTCTTTGGACTGTGAGGAAACGTGACTTGTTCACGTGATGAAGAGACGGCGGAGCCGAGCGAACCGATGGCTGCGGCGACTGAGGTCTCAGGTAGTAACGGCGGCGATAGCGTCGACGGCCTCTAGGAGACAGCCCTCCTCTCATCATCAGCAGGTCTGTAAGAGGTTCCCCCCTGCATACTCACACCATCCTATGCTACTCTGCTAACCCTACAGTAATAACACATACTCTACATCAACAATGAAGAATGTTAAGGAAGTGGCCTTAAATACAGAATACTTACGTTGGCAGCTATGAAAGGACAGCATTTATAAAAAGTTTAAAAGTAATGAAGAAACAAACTGAACAGAGAACTACCTGATGAATATTGACATCTACAAGCAATAACTGAACCTTTACTCAGCTTATTCTTAACAAGTTAAGCATCCAGCATTCTATCATTTTTTTGTTAATCACATTATTATTATTCTTATTATTATTATTATATTTGCAAAGAAGCAGTAAACCAGGGCTGTAATTAGGTTTGATCTGATGAATGGTAAGGTAGTTCCTTGGATGGGGTCCTTCACCAGCAACAAGGCACCCTCCTTAAAGGTTGTGTCAGTCACAGTGTAAGCATCAATAAAAGAAACCTTCAACCCTAATCCAAAACCAAATATAAAAAAATAAGAAAAACTGCACTTATGCTCATTGAAATTTGATACTTTAACATGTGTGTGATAACTGTTAAGCCCAACACAAAGTTCTACCATGCTTATATAATAAACAAATTCTCATTGAAGTTGTCCATTTTAACCAAATTTGTTGGGTGTCCATGTGCAGCTGTTCTGAATGATCTCTTTCTAATAAAATACTCGTATAATTTGTAATTACAATACTTATTTCTACTTGTGGTGTCCCATCGTCAGTGTTTAGTTCTTGAAAACTGTTCATAGTTTCCAGTGATATTGTGCTATAACCATTGAAAAATTTAAAATACTGGGAGGCAGTATACTATGAGATGAACTCTGCTCTTGCAGTGGTATATATTAAGAAGAAAGGTAAGCATTGCTTACCCCCCCAAAAAAAAAACCTTCCCTTTACAATTAAGATACAGTATACCTTCATTCAGTTAATGTATTATTTATTGTGTACAGCCTTGTGCATTTTTGTTATGTCACAGTGAATCTAAACCTAGTGTAACTGGAGTTGACATTCAAAACCTGATAAACACAAGCATTTGCCACTTTAAAATCTGACCATGGAATGCACAACATATGATTTGCATTATCTTCTTCTGCCGGTGTCCAGGGTTCAACTATATGTCACATTAGCCAAATTTTTAAAAAATCCATTATGTGGTTCAATAGGATTCAGATGAATCTAATGCTGTGCAAATCATTCTGATGCTGGAATTTTCCATCAATAATATTTGTTGTCACCACTAAGAAGTTATTTTGCTAGAGATTTGGGCAGCAAAACACAGAATATACTCCTGGTTTTCTCAGCCTTATTATTACCCCTACACATCAATTTCAGCAACACTGCTAAAATATGACATGATATTGTTAATATTAGACTCACAAATTTGGATTCATCAAGATTCTTAAGAGCTTTTACCTTGTTCACTTTCCATCATTATGTGGGTATGGAAAAGAATATCCAGAACTTGCTCTTCAGTCACTGAAGGGTAACTAAAACAATTTCTTCGAATTTTCGTTGCTAAATTCAGAAGAATTCAAAGATAAACTATAATAACTTAACTATAATTGATTACTGTACCTGATACATTATTCATTGGCTAGAATATAACATTCACCCCACAGCCATGACCTTTCCTCATTGACCTGGATCAAGGTTTCAAATCCATGAGGAAGTAAAAAAGAGTAGCACCACAGTTCTCCACAGGAATCAACACAATGGTGAAATATGTACTGGAGCACTTAGAAATGCAGGGAGGTTATGTAGATATATAATACAGGTCTTCAACAATTTGCATTAAAAATAAGATTCCAGCAGTGTCACAATTTTGACTCCACACTGTATGCAATAATCTACTGTAGTAAAAAATATAACTAAAAAAAATAAGAGGAAGGATATTTTAAAGTATTTTACAATCTGCAGAAAGTGCCAAAATATGAGAGAACAAAGAATCCTAAGGATATACTTGTAGGAGCCTTTGCATCTGTATCTCCCAATAAGTTTTTACAAATTAATTTACAATCTTCCTGCAGCACACTCAAGTGATGAGCATGAGTCTCATGGTAGTTACCCCTCAATATAAATATTTTCATAATAATAACTGACAAGATATATAGGTACATATGCCTGTGCCTTTTATTGACAATACAAACAGTATAGAAACTTGTTTGGGCATTTACTGATAAAATAAGGAGACATCAGGTGTTAATTTTCTTGCTCTCCAATACATAGGTGAAACTGGCCACCCTTCTGTTTTTTGACAAACTACACAAATGTTTGACTTGCTGGTACTAAAGAAGCTACAGCATTCCCATAGCAGATCCTCTTCCAAAATTATCTATCCTCGAATTCTCCTCTACACAACATTTCTAATGTGAATCTTAACCCCAGCTTTGCTTCTGTCTGTAGTTACTTGCCTTTCCCAGTGAAGTCAAATGCTCTTATGTTCAGAAGACATATAACATGACTGTCTCCTGACCTCCCAATACTCTAATCTGACTTCTGACCCTCTATTACTGTCTTTCAAAATTACCCTATTGATAAGGATCCAGAATGGATAAACCCTGTCTAATTCTTATTTCCAATTTGTGGGTTAGTTCCTAACTGTTCTAGCGACAGTTTTTATTCAAAATAAGGGAGCAGTGAAGAGACTCAAATTTCTTTACCTTTTCTTTCAGTGGCAGATTTATGCAAATACAAAAGGTTTACCAAACCAGCACCAACTTTTAGTTATGCACCATATCATTTTGGAATTTGATAAAACCCATAAAACAAAACTAAAAGTACGTGCCTACTGTGATGAAACATTGCTTGCATGAAAAATGCAGAGATTCTGTGTATAATAGCTCTTCTTTAGTGAAAAAGTTTATATATTTTTTAAATATTAATAAAAACAATATGAATGCTATAATATAGCTATGTAAATTACTAACTGGTTCTCACAGCAATTAATACAAGAGCATTTCAAAATGTCAACATTTTCTCTTTAGTCCTTTAAAAAGTGACTGTGTGATAATATACGAAAGCTAAGAGTGTACACATACCTTGTGGGTCAATTCCAGGCATCATCTCTGCCGTTTCCATCATTTCTGATATTTCATCCTCGGATCTTATGAACTCTTCTATGTCATTGCCGGGCACCTGTAACCCAAGCATTTGAGATTTGTTACCAGAAACTTTTTTAGAAGATGACAGAAAGCATTTTTGAACTAATATTAATATTTGATTGAGAAGAGGTGGCACTGATGTAAGTGAACCACACATGTTGATTGTATGAAAATAATGATATGAATTTCTAGACACAATGGGAAAATTACAAAGACAAGACAAAGATTTATTTCTCTGCAAAGGTTACAACGTGTAATTACATTTTTGATGTGTTAGGTACAAAGAAAGCCACTATCATGCTGGGGCATTTTGGGCAGACTAATCCTAATACAGTATTAATGCAGACTTCCAGTGAAAATGGTATGTTGATATCAACGAAATGTGGAAAGACACTTGTGTACAGTTCATAATATTTATTAGAAGAAACATTTTTATTAGAAGAAACGTTTTTGCTGAAATGCTTCCACTAATAAATGTCTTGAGCTGTACAGAAGTGTCTTTTTCCACACAGACTTACATTAAGTGGGGCAACCTACCAAAACTGGCTCGACTCAGGCTCTCAAAATATACGGCAGGCAGTGTCAAACCAGATGCGATTCCACTTGTATAATACTGTGGCATCAACAAGTCATGATCAAGAGCTGCTTGTTAAGCACAACAAAAACTTGTCCTCTTACCTTTCTTTCTTTCAACACACCAGCTGTATTCCACCGAGGCGGGGTGGCCCAAAAGGATAAACGAAAGTTTCTCCTTTCACATTTAGTAATATATACAGGAGAAGGGGTTACTAGCCCCTTGCTCCTGGCATTTTAGTTGCCTCTTACAACACGTATGGCTTACGGAGGAAGAATTCTGTTCCACTTCCCCATGGAGGTAAGAGGAAATAAACAAGAACAAGAACTAGAAAGAAAATAGAAGAAAACCCAGAGGGGTGTGTACATATATATGCTTGTACATGTATGTGTAGTGTGACCTAAGTGTAAGTAGAAGTAGCAAGACGTACCTGAAACCTTGCATGTTTACGAGACAGACAAAAGACATCAGCAATCCTACCATCATGTAAAACAATTACAGGCTTTCGTTTTACACTCACTTGGCAGGACGGTAGTACCTCCCTGGGTGGTTGCTGTCTACCAACCTACTACCTACATGTCCTCTTACCATTAACACTTATTCATATTCCTCTTGCCCTTTTCAATGAAATGGTGAAAATGGCAGCTCCCTTTCTAATAGAATTAAAAGATACCAAAGAAACATCTGCCAGGCTGAAACTAACAATACTCTTGGTTTGCTATGTCTGTGACTATAGCCATATATAGAATCTATTTGGTTTACCCTAACCTTAGTTGTCTCCTAGGAACATCTCCCACTACCTTGACAGTTTTCACCTTGTTCCCAAACTCACTTGTGATTCTGGACAGATCAAAACGTTATCCAGTTCTTATTCAAAATTTGTGGATTTAGTTTCTTCAACAGTGAATTGGTTGATAGGAACCATTCATAAAAGTACTACTATCCTGCCATACAAGTGTAAAACAAAAGACTATTGAATGTTCTGCATTTTAATAGGATTGCTGGTCTTTTCTTTCTGTTTCATGAACATGCAAGATGACAGGTAAATCTTAGAAATGCCAACTTACATTCAGTATACTCTTCTCTTTACTGTTCTGTACTTCACAACAGTTCTTATTTCTCTAGTTTTTCTTTTCTGATACAGGAGGCCTGCTCTGAGATTGGGCTGGTGGGATGTTGATCCTTGGAACCATTAACAGCAAACTGCCATAGTACAGGTACACATTCCTTTATCCGACACCCTTGGGGCCAATAGTGTTTCAAATTTCAGAATGAAGGTTGGGTCTAGGGCAGCAACCCATAATCAAATATTAACACTGCAGGAAAAACATATGATCATCACTACTATTCTCATGCTTATTTGTATTTAACACCATTTCTTTAAACCATAAACAGTGGTAGTTCCAACACCATATTCTTCATTAAGACACCGCACTGAGACACCATGAACAAGCTTCTGCAGTAATTCTACTTTTTGCGTTATTGATAACGTCAGATGCTTCCTTTTCTTTTTCTTGCTGTTACCCAAAGGAGTATCTGCAGCTCTTCTTAACATTTTCACAGTGAAATTAAATATAGTCACAAAATGAAAAGCAAAAACAAAATATCAGCAAACGGCAGACGCATGTGTGAATACTACAAGCGCTGAGACACAACTGATGCTTGCCACTCTGGCTGTCAGTGACTGACGCTAACTCTCCACAAAAAACTTCTGTTTTTGAAATTTTTCAAACTTCAGAATTTCGGATAAAGGAAAGTGGACCTGTATTTTAACTTATTCAACTCTGCAGTCTCACTGGGAGAACTGTATCTGCAGCCTCACATAAGTTACAATGTCAATGTCAAGAAAATTATATGTGGTAATTACCTGCCATGAGAGAAGAAATTAAGAACATTTTTAGAGAACATTACAAGAGGTTAAATTTTTAGGTGCAGTACTAGTGTGTAAGAAAGTATACATAGTGCAAAGATGAAACAATACCTTTGAGGGTTTGAGGAAGCGTTCTGGTATACGAGAGATGCCGTCCTGAACCGGGCCACCAAAGCCAAGGCTGAGCAGCACCTCTACAGGATCAGCCTGACGAGACTCCAGCAAGGAATCGATACTCGACCTGCTGAGTATGGAAATTATAGTAAAATTTATTTACATATTAGCTGGGAATACTTTCCTCAATACAAAAATAACCCGACCATGAACCATGGACTAGGTCAGGCCAAAATGTCATCATAAGCTTCTTTCTCCTACGTGCAGGTTATTTGTGTATTGTTCCTGTCGCAGTATGTGCCTTTTTGTTCTTTATAATTTCCTCAGTTATGATGAAAGTGATATTAAATACTAGATACTGTATTTAATACTCTGAAAAATGGGCCGTCACTAAGGAAGAATCTACTTCCTTCTCATATTTTTTTAAGCCAGACTCACACTGAAGTCACATTCATGATTTACAATTTATTATTTTATTCATGAGGAAGGGCTAGACCCATGAGGACTATACAATGTCAGGGGAATGGGAAGTAATCAGGATTCTTCTGAGACAGAAAAAAGGACCTCCAATTCCTTGTTTTGTGTGTGTGCATGCACGTGTACACACACACATCAACACATCAAAGATGAAGGAGTTCTCATTAATTAAATCTAAGACATCTCTTCTCTTTTGATCCTAATTTGGTGAAAACTAATCAAGATGAAGAAAATGCAGACACTGTTAATATAGTATCCAGTACTACCTACTTGCTATGGAAGGAAAGGCCCGAGAGTTCACTCTGAAATGATGACTGTTTCTCTCGTAGAGAGGCAAACTGAGAGCGCTTTCCTTCAACTCCTGCTATACTTGATTCCTGCTGTTCTTGCAGGCTCTGAAGGCTATTTGCCACATCACCCAAGGTCACTGGCCTGTTGAGAATGCAAAAAACATTATTATGATAGCTATGGCAACTGTTTGGCATATGCTCATCCCATCTATTACAATGACTTGTAACTCAATGGGAGAGCAACCAGCTCACAACCAAAACCAGCCATGCTAAATTCTTGGTTCAGACGACATATTGATGAGTGTCACGTGTTGTAAGAGGCAACTAAAATGCTAGGAACAAGGGGGCTAGTAACCCCTTGTTCTGTGTAAATTACTAAATTTAAAAAGAAAAACTTTTGTTTTTCTTTCTAATTCACTCTGCCTCAGTGGGATACGGCTTCATTGTTGAAAAAAAAAAAAACATGGACAAATCTCTTTACATCTGGTGCCCAAGGTCACCTGGCAGTAAATCAGTTATTATAGGTGGCATCCTGGAGATGGTGGTACTGTATACTCTAGACAGTCAGTGGCAACTCATACACATACATACGCTATGTGACTGCCTAGCATGCCAAGTTTTATGTGGTGCCAAATTCAAGGGAAAAATCTGGTTTAAAAAATAAAATGAAAAAAGTAAAAATAAACTAACAGATGCCATTACAGTATTTAAATTCCTATGTGTATATGAAACAAAAGGAACAATTGGCAAAATGTGATAAATGGTTTGAAAAACCGACGAGTTGAAGATTGAGACACTTATGCAGCATATGGGAATCTTTATTCAGGAAACGTTTCGCCACACAGTGGCTTCATCAGTCCAATACAAAGAGGAAGGCGTAAGGAGAGGAGGAGTATGAGGTAATCAGTCCCTCAGCCTGTAGAAGATTGATGGACTGAACACATCGACTCCAGGCTGAGGGACTGATTACCTCATACTCCTCCTCTCCTTACGCCTTCCTCTTTGTATTGGACTGATGAAGCCACTGTGTGGCGAAACGTTTCCTGAATAAAGATTCCCATATGCTGCATAAGTGTCTCAATCTTCAATTGGCAAAATGTTTCCCAGTCCACCGAAAGTCTCAGCCTATGTCTTCTCTTGGTATTTCAGGTTATGGGCGATGACTGCAAGGCTAACCCAGGGCACCAGTTGCTAGCAGCTGGCCTCGAGTTCCCCCTTGACACAGCTGGGCTTTGACATGAGCAAAGGCAGGATTACAACTATTAGCCTATGAACTGAACTATGTAAAAACTTACTGTAGGTGTAAGGAATGTCCAAAGATTACAAGGAGGGACTAAGAATGTAGCAGGAATGTGTGAGCATGGTAGATCAGAAAGGAGATAAGTGGTGTTGGTAATCTGACATACTATTAGAGGGTAAGAAAGGTAATATTTATGAAAAGAATCTGAAAAACCAGGTAGCCAGACTTGAGTTGTTAAGGTGGAAAGCAGTGACTGTATTTTGAATGATGGGTGGAAATGTTGCAGTTTGGAGGGTCATATGAAAGGAAATGTTTGCATTTTTTTTTTTTCAACAAGTCGGCCGTCTTCCACCGAGGCAGGGTGACCCAAAAAGAAAGAAAATCCCAAAAAAGAAAATACTTTCATCATTCAACACTTTCACCTCACTCACATAATCACTGTTTTTGCAGAGGGGCTCAGAACACAACAGTCTAGAAGCATATACGTATAAAGATACAAAACATATCCCTCCAAACTGCCAATATCCCGAACCCCTCCTTTAGAGTGCAGGCATTGTACCTCCCATTTCCAAGACTCAAGTCTGGCTATATAAAAATAACCGGTTTCCCTGAATCCCTCCACTAAATATTATCCTGCTCACACTCCAACAGATCGTCAGGTCCCAAATACCATTTGTCTCCATTCACTCCTATTGAACACACTCATGCACGCCTGCTGGAAGTCCAAGCTCCTTGCCCACAAAACCTCCCTTACCCCTTCCTTCTAGCCTTTTCGAGGACGACCCCTACCCCGCCTTCCTTCCCCTACAGATTTAAACGCTTTACATGTCATTCTACTTTGATCCATTCTCTCTAAATGACCAAACCACCTCAACAACCCCTCTTCAGCCCTCTGACTAATACTTTTATTAACTCCACACCTTCTCCTAATTTCCACACTCCGAATTTTCTGCATAATATTTACACAACACATTGCCCTTAGACAGGACATCTCCACTGCCTCCAACCGCCTCCTTGCTGCTGCATTCACAACCCAAGCTTCACACCCATATAAGAGTGTTGGTACTACTATACTTTCATACATTCCCTTCTTTGCCTCCAAAGATATTGGTACTACTATACTTTCATACATTCCTTTCTTTGCCTCGAAAGATAACGTTTTTTGTCTCCACGCACCACTCACCTTTTTTCCCTCATCATTTGTATGATTAACCTCATCCTTCATAAATTCATCCGCCAACACGTCGACTCCCAAGTATCTGAAAACATTCACTTCTTCCATACTCCTCCTCCCCAATTTGATATCCAATGATACCCTCATCACCTTACTCTTTTCTATGTTCACTTTCAACTTTCTACCTTTACACACACTCCTAAACTCGTCCACTAACCTTTGCAATTTTTCTTCATAATATCCCATAAGCACAGTATCATCAGCAAAAAGCTGCTGTGTCAATTCCCATTTTGTATTTGATTCCCCATAATTTAATCCCACCCCTCTCCTGAACACCCTAGCATTTACTTCTTTTACAACCCCCTCTATAAATATATTAAACAACCATGGTGACATTACACATCCCTGTCTAAGACCTACTTTTACCGGGAAGTATTCTCCCTCTCTTCTACACACCCTAACCTGAGCCTCACTATCCTCATAAAACCTCTTTACAGCATTCAGTAACTTACCAGCTCTTCCATATACTTGCAACATCTGCCACATTGCTCCTCTATCCAATCTATCATATTACTATTATTATAATAATAATAAGTCAGTACAGTACACTGACAATGGATCATACTTTATCTGTGATTTACCTAGAAGAGATCCCTGTAGCTTCATCCTGCTGATTAGGCTGGTGGAGGGGCAGATGAGACTGATGCAAATGTCCAGTCATCAAGGACGTGGCAACATTGGCGGTGCTACGACAACTGACTGACTTGGTAGCAGCTGACAGAGAGACAGCACCAGCAGCAGTAGCAGCAGATGCAGTAACAGAGGCAGCAGCCAGTGCAAAACGTGATGTACCAGTAGTGGTAACTGAAGATGTCACCATGGATTCTGATCCACACATGTATCCCGCTGCAAGACAAGAAAAGTTTTGGTTATCATGTATGGAAGTGTACAAGAGAGCTCCACTTAGACAGCAGGTTAAGTTCTGGGCTACTGCTTTAAAGCAAAAATCACTGTAAAGTGAAACGGCCTTTTTTACATTTGAAATGCATATAAAAGCCTAATAACATGTTTACACTCTCATATACAGCCTCTCCTCACTTAGCAATGTATGTACTTGTTTACCGACACCTTGGCCTTACTACAGGCTCTATGACCAGTATTCATACCTAAATAAAGTACATATTAGAGGTGATTTCCTCTATTCTGCTTATTTCAATATACATTACACTACTGTATAAACATTTTAAAATACAGTGGACCCCCGCATAACGATTACCTCCGAATGCGACCAATTATGTAAGTGTATTTATGTAAGTGCGTTTGTACGTGTATGTTTGGGGGTCTGAAATGGACTAATCTACTTCACAATATTTCTTATGGGAACAAATTCGGTCAGTACTGGCACCTGAACATACTTCTGGAGTGAAAAAATATCGTTAACCGGGGGTCCACTGTATATCAGAAATGTTATAAATGGTGCAAAGGTGGCATTAAAACAATATCAAAGATGGTTGACACAAACCCTCTACCATTATAGTATGTTCCTCACTTAGTGATGAATTCATTTACTGACGTGGTCTTACGAAACAAACCATACCACGAGCGGGGTTAGAACCCACGATCAGAGAGTCTCAAAACTTCAGAACGTCGTGGGTTCTAACTCCACCCGTGGTATGGTTTGTTTGCAATCGTGTCATTACAATTTCCTGAGTCGTGGTCTTAGGAATGGAACTCCATCGTTAAGTGAGGAGAGGCTGTATTAAGTGAGCAATAGAGGAGCTAGACCTAAAAAATGCATATACAGTACATACATTGCTTTCCTCAAAATATTTTCATACTTATAGTGAGTGGTGAATATATTTACTATATGAAGTCTGAATAAATGAAGAATGAGTATAACTGAAAACTGCTGTATCAGTGAAACACTGTAAAGCAGGGCCTGCCTGTAGTCAAAAGACATGAGTGTAATCAATGAGTGAAAACCCACAGAATGAAAAATGAGACTTGGGAAATCAAGATAGAAGATAACCTGGAGGATGTCTTATTAAGCTCACGTTAAGACTTACAAGAAACACAAGATGAGACATGCAAGAATTAAACATGTTGGGTCTTAACCATTAACTAACAACAGGTATTGCTACACAGTAGTCCCTCCATATCCACAAGGGATATGTTCCAAGACCTACCATAGATACCCGAAACCATGGATAGTAGCGAAACCTATATACGTGCCGTTTTTCACTTACATACATACCTATTAAGTTTAAATGATTAATTACACACAAAAAGTCAAGAATTAGCACTTTTCCACTGATGTGAAGTACAGTGGAACCTCAAATATCGAACTGCTCCCAACTCAACCAATTATGTAAGTGTATTTTTGTAAGTGCTTTTAGAAGTGTACTTTTGAGGGCCTGAAATGAACTAATCTAATTTACATTATTCCTGATGGGGAATAAATTCGTTCGGTAACGGCACTCGAACAGCCGTCTGGAACGAAAAAAGTTCAATATTTGAGGTTCCACTGTACTTCATGGCTTCTCTTAGGCTTTGAAGAACTGCCACCATCACTACTTTTGAGTTCTGGCATCATTATTAAGCAAAATTAAGGGTTATTTTCAGGCCATGGTAAACCATGGATGACTGAAACTGCGGAAACCGAATCCATGGTTATGGGGGGTTCTACTGTACAAGAAAAAGGGAATCTGTATTAGTGGGAATTAGAGGAAGGGGTCCCCTAATAAGGGAAAGTAACTATGGCCATCTTACAGTAAGGGACAGTAACTAGTAGCACCTAATCAGTGAGAGGAGGAGGCCACATCCCTCACCCCATGAATTTGGCTCTCTTCCTGTACTCACACAAGTTTTCCCCTCACACCAAGAGCATGGTTGTTCCTGTGCCAACACAAATTTCCCCTCACATCATGAGCATGATTGTCCATGCCCCCACAAAAATTTACCCTCACACCATGATTAGGGCTGTCCTGTGCCAACACGTGCGACCTCCGTTGCTCGTGATCAGTACAGTTTGCAAAGTGTACTGATGAAGCTTATTATGCAGAATTAGGTGTTTTTGGCCTGATTGAGCTCAGTACAACTGCCACTGTGCCTGGAACTACACCTAATGTTATTATTACAGTATTATTATTATGATCCCATGGGGGTCATTCAAAGCCCTGGAGAATGGGAAGCAATCAGGTTTGATCCAAGGAAGAAAGCAGATGCAATTCCTTGAGACAATAGTTCTTCAACATCAAGGCATCCTCCTTTCCCGTCAAAGGGTTCTCCTTGTAATACCTAAATTTATTGTTCACGAATCCTTAGAGACCGTATATATAAGCAATTACAGTGGTACCCCAAGTTTCGGCCATAATTCATTCCAGAAGGCTGCTCAAGTGCCGTTACCGAACGAATTTGTTCCCATAAGGAATAATGTAAATTAGATTAGTCCATTTCAGACCCCCAAAAATACACTTATAAAAACACTTACAATAATAAACTTACATAACTGTTCGAGTTGAGAGCAGTGTGAAACTCGAGGTACCACTGAAATTAGTTATTGCAATTTTAGTCTTAAGTTTGCCCAAAATGCTCTGCATAATGTGTTTTCTGCATGCACACCTAAATGTCGCTGATCTTTGTACAAACACTGTATCACGCTAAAATAAAGATTATGTATTATTATTATTATTATTATTATGATTATTATTATTTAACCTTTTGACTGTTTCGGCCGTATATATATCTTTCGAGCCAGTGTTTCAGATGTATATATACTCAATAATTCTAGCGGCTTCAAATCAAGGAGGAGAAAGCTGGTAGGCCCACATGTAAGAGAATGGGTCTGTGTGGTCAGTGTGCACTGTATAAAAAAAATCCTGCAGCACGCAGTGCATGAGAGAAAAAAAAACTCCGACCGTGTTTTTGGATTAAAACGCCAACTTTGAGGTGTATTTTCCAACAGTATTTATGGTAGTATTCTCGTTTTCTTGGTCTCATTTGATAGAATGGAAAACATATTACAGAAATAGAGATGATTAGTTTCACTAGGAAAACAGCCTTGAAATTGCGCTCAAAGTAGCAGAAACATTTGATTTTTACCAATGTTCAAGATTAAGCAAATCACACCACATGTCCAATACACATCAACTGGGGAGTCTAATATTCTTTCACTAGTGCACTGATATTATTTATACCATTTTTACAATAATGCAGTAATCTGCATAACAGTAAATCTTCTATTTTTTGTGTGAATAAAAAAACAAAACGGAAAGCAAGAGTAACATAAGAGGGGCCTGAGACGTAACTAATTGAACAGAGGATATGTTATTTTAGTGCCAAGAATGTCTGCATTGTTTATTCTGAACCCTATTTTGAAATTGGCATTTTTTTAAATTTGTGTGAAATTGGCCAAATTGCCAATTTCTGACCACTTTATTGGGTAGTTGAAATTTGTAAATGAGCGAGATTGCTAACTTCGTGGGAGCATAATTCTGTAAGTTTTCAATCAAATTTCATACTTTTGGTGTTATTACCATCAGGAAAATATTCTTTATCATTTTATAAGAAAAAATAATTTTTTTTTTCAAAAAATTTTTCAACACCAGGAGACATTTCAGGATTCAGGGTTGCGACAGTCAAAGGGTTAATGTATTGGCCGCCTCCCACCAAGGCAGGGTGACCTTAAAAGAAGCAAAAGTTTTTCTCTTTATATTTAGTAATTTATACAGAAGGGGTAACTAGCCCCTTGCTCCCGGCATTTTAGTTGCCTCTTATGACACGCATGGCTTATGGAGAAAGCATTCTTCTCCACTTCCCCGTGGATTATTATTGTTATTATTATTATTATTATTATTATAATAAAACCAGATAGGTACAGTACTCACCCTCGGCACCCAGGTTGAGACTGTCCTCAGCATGGTCATCAGTGGTGGGACTGCCCACCCACGATGTGTCCACCTCATCCTCCTCACTGTCGGTGGGAAAGAACTGGATGTAAATATACATTGCATATTATTATACTTGTGGGAAAGCACTAAACCTTTCAGGTTCAAACACCACCTGGGGAATGGGAGGCACTCAGATTTAGTCCAAAGAGGGTACCTTCAATCCCCTATATCAAAAACCCTTCACCAGCACCAAGACACCTCACTCCTTGAAGGCTCACATGTGTAATGAGCATACACGAAATTAATTTCCAGGAGGACATACTCACTTTTAAGGGTGTACAATGTGTACACATCTCAGAGGAGCCTCAACCATATTAAGCTACTCTTAGCTATAACTAAGTTGATTTTCAGACAGTGATAAGTCTGAAATGGATGAAGTTTTGTGTGCTGAAGAGAGACCCTTCTCTAATCCTGGCTGTTCACTTTAGTTTAATCCTTTCAGGGTTTCGGCCGTACTAGTATGGCTTACGCACCAGGGTTTTTGACGTACTAGTACGCCTAAATTCTAGCGCCCTCAAATCTAGTGAGAGAAAGCTGGTAGGCCTACATATGAAAGAATGGGTATGTGGTCAGTATGCACGGTATAAAAAAATATCCTGCAGCACACAGTGCGTAATGAGAAAAAAAAAAAAAAAAAAACTTTGACTGTGTTTTTAGATTAAAACAGCAACTTTGCACTGTATTTTCCTATGGTATTTATTGTTGTATTCTAGTTTTCCTGGTTTCATTTTATAGAATGGAAGACATATTACAGAAATTGAGATGATTTTGATTGGTTTTACAAAGAAAAGTACCTTGAAATTGAGCTCAAAGTAGCAGAAATGTTCGATTTTTACCAAAGTTCAAAAGTAAACAAATCATGCCAAGCGTCCAATACACGTCAACTGGTGAGTCTAATATTCTTTCACAAGTGCGCTGATATTATTTATACCATTTCTACACTAATGCAGTAGTCTGCATAACAGTAATCTTCTATTTTTTGTGAGAATAAAAATTCAAAGTGGAAAGCAAAAGAATGTAAGAGGGGCATGGGGACGTGACTAATGAACAGAGGAAATGTTATTTTAGTACCAGGAATGTCTTTCTTGTTTATTCTGGAAAATTGTGAAATTGGCAAAATTGCTAAATTCTGACCACTGTATTGGATAGTTGAAATTGGTAAATGGGTGGTTTCTTGTACTCATTCGATGGAAAAAATGGAGTTCTAGCGAAATACTTATGATTTTTGTCGACAAGTACACTGGAATTGGCTGAAAATAGGGCTCAACGTGGGCAAAATCGCCGATGTGCAAACATCGTCGAGACCGCTAACTTCGTGAAACCATAATTCCCTAAGTTTTCCATCAAATTTCATACTTTTGGTGTCATTATGATCAGGAAAAGATCCTCTATCTTTTCATAAGAAAATATATATATTTTTTGGGGGGAAATTTGGCCGACCCTGAGAACAAGTCTCTGAGAGGGCCTGTCGACCCTGAAAGGGTTAATAAATAAATAAATAAAAAAATTTGCTTTTCAGCTCAGTAGTAGTGTTTGGCTCGGAACCAAAGGGACCTGGGTTTGATTGCAGAGTGGGGTGAGATGTATGGACAAGTCTACTTACACCTACTGCTCATGTTCCTCTAGCAGAAATAAATACCTAGAAATTATTAAACTATTGTGGGTAGCATCACTACCAAACTTTGGCAATCCTGGGTTAATGGCCATCTAAGATTGAATTATACTCCATGGAGAAAGTTAAATTAGTAAGGGTCATAAAGCACCTGTGGAATTGGGAGGCAATAAGGCTTGATAAGAGGAAGGGGAAGACAGCCCCAGATCCTTAGATGAAGAGTCCTTCACCAAAATCAAGGTATCTCCCCTACCCTTGAATGGTCCAAATTAAGCAACATGTGTGTTCAACACTGGACCACCACCAGCCACTTGATGAGATGGAAAGATGCCTGCTTGAAGCATCATTAACCTCCATGTCTGAAACAATTAGGTACACAGAACAAATGGAGGTTTAATCATCTCTGAAGTATTGAAACAAATCATCCTTTAAATATACCATTGCATCACCTGGCAACAAAAAGTCTCCACCACCACCACCACCAGTGCTACTGCTGCTGCTATTACTACTACTACTAGCATTGGCTAGTAGACCTACTGTAGTGCTTATATTCTTTCTTCCTGCTCCTCACCATGTTCCTATTACATACCCTCTGTTTCCTTGTATGTACTGGCTTGAGAAAAGTTTGCAAGTGAAATGCATTAGTGTTTATTGTGTCAATTTACCTAATGTAACAAGGTTAAACACTCTTCAGTATAACCTAATTAAAATTATCTTCCTTCTTCATCCTCTAGAGTAATAAACATCCTTGGGCATCAAGCTAAAATATCAAGTACTTCATCTTCCAGTACTGGCAGGGATCACTGTACTGCCTGACAGCCGACCACTCAGAATGACTGAGCTTGCAGTTTATAGTTCAATGTATGGATAACATGTTGCAACTTTTATACGCATAAAATTTTGTGAGAAATGTGGGAACTAGAACCATACCTTTGATATACCTTTGATGAGTTTTGAGAGTTTTCCTGCCCCCGCAGCCCAGCCCTGGGCCAGGCTTGCCTGATCAACCAGGTTGCTGTCGCTGGTGGTCCGCTGGCCCACACATTCATCGCAGCCTGGTTGATCTGGCGCAGGCAGACCAAAGCCGTTTGCTTTAAACAAACAGCGTAAGCTTAGTCTGGAGACTACCAAGGGACATACAGTATTTCTTATAATGTTTGTCTGAGGTCCAAGAGATGAACTGCCTAGCTGCTGACCAGACGGAGGTGTCCTTTTTGTTTGCTTTTTTATTTTTTGTCTATTGTTTTTGTTTTTGTTGTTCACCAGGGCACAAAGTTGCATAAAGTCCTATGTCCTGGGGATTAGGGTGTTCTTTATCACAAGAGAAGAGTAGGTTGCATAGCAGCCCGTGTAGGAGATCAAGTAGGAGTACAGATGACCTTGGTCAGTGATGTAGGAAAAGAGTGGAAGATACTACTAAAGTTCACCAATAAGGAGTGGAAGACACCAATAAAGCTCACCAACAAGGAGTGGAAGACACCACTAAAGCTCACCATTAATGAGTGGAAGACACTTCTAAAGCTCACCAACAAGGAATGGAAGACATCATTAGAACTGGCAGACTCTTCCCTTAACACTGAGGAAGGTGAAGATGAGGGAGAACCTCAGGACAGAGGGATCATCCAGGAGAGGTAATTAGAGTCGCCAGATGAAGGAACTCGCAGAGATGGGTGTGGGAAGAATGGAATCAGGGACAAGAAGAAAATGTACGAAGTAATGCAAATTTGTCCTCCCAAAATGGCTTGCATAACAACGAGCTTTCCTTCGACTATTGAATACAATGTTTCATTTATTTCTGTCCAGTTGAATTATAATACTGTAGAAGACAAGCAGGTAGATAAATCTGTATACGAGTGTGTGAAGGTATGAGGATTGAGGCATGTAGGGCTGCTGGTGTTTAAAGTATGGAAAGGGAGAGGGGGTGAGTGAAGACTATACTAGCTAGTCACCACAGAAGTCACAGTGGAATTCTTCCCAGAGTAGATGGTACAGTGTATGTTGAAATTCCCTAATAAAAACAGCAGTGTAAATAAGTTAGTATGATAAAGTTTTGCAAGCTAGATACGGTTAAGGGGTATGGAGGAGAGATATGAGGAAACCATATACTGTACCACATAAAGTAAATGGGAGTTATAGTGTAATTAGGTGAGGGTATGAATAAAAACTTGAGAATATAATATACATGTACACACACACACACACACACACACACACACACACACACACACACACACACACACATATACACATACATACATACAAACAGGTCGGCCATCACTAATCCGGCATCAATGGGACCAGTAGTGTGCTGGACTAGTGAGTTTGCCGGATTACAGAGTGGTTAGGTTAGAATACACTTAATTAACCTATCAATAGAGAGACTTTCTGCTACATCTTCCTCATTTTCATCACTGCTTTCTTCTCCACTGGCTTGCTGCTGTGGATTTACAACCATCTGCACAATTTCTGAGTCAGTACAGTGGACCTTCGGGTAACGGCATTAATCCGTTCCAGAGAGCTTGCCTATAACCGATTTTGCCATTATCCGAATTAATTTTCCCCATGAGAAATAATGGAAGTCCAATTAATCCGTTCCAGACGCCCAAAAGTATTAAACAAAATATTTTTTTTTACATGAAATATACATTTCCCTACACAGAAAACAATGAGACATGCACAATAAACAATACTAAAATGACACCTTTATTGAGGACTTACTGATGAGATGGGAGGAGGGGAGAGGATGGAGGTGTATTATTGTTTGAAAGGGTAATCCCCTTCCATAAGGACTTTAGGTAGCAAGTCCTTTTCCAGGGTTACCTCCCTTCTTTGTTTTTTAATGCCACTAGGACCAGCTTGGTGTCAATGGATCCCTGTCGCACCAAAAATCTGTCCGGAGAGCTCTGTTTCTGGCATGTCTTTAATAAAGATTTCCCTAAAATGGGACACAACATTGTCATTGTAGAAGTCGCCAGCACGGCTTGCAACAGCTGTGTCAAGGTGTTCATCCATACAGGCTTGCACCTTTGTCCACACTGTACAAATGTCCACTATCTCCTGATAATTGTTTCTCGTTGATCCACACCAACAAAAGTCTCTCCACATCTTCGAGTATTTGCGATCTCTGTTTTGTAAGCATACTTGCACCTTTCACAACAGCTTCCTTGATTGCATTTTTGTTGGCAAAGATAGTAGTGATGGTTGAATGGGGTTTGTTATATAACCTGGCCAACTCGGAGATGCGCACTCCACTTACGTATTTTGTGATGATCTCTCTCTTCAGTTCGATAGTACAGTGGACCCCCGCATAACGATTACCTCCAAATGCGACCAATTATGTAAGTGTATTTATGTAAATGCGTTTGTATGTGTATGTTTGGGGGTCTGAAATGGACTAATCTACTTCACAAT